CCATGGTTTAAGTAAAACTTTTGTGGGCAGAGATCAATGGCACAATCTGAAATATCCAAAAGAAGCAGCATCGGCACCAAAATTTTGGGCCGTTTTTGCGCTTAAAGGGAAAACGTCGAAATTGTCACTGTTTTACCTTGAAACATAAGTCAACCTTTACACGTATTGCAAACTTCTGCACAATTAACCGCTTCACATTTCTAGACGTGGTAATGAATCCAGACCGGATCAAATTTTTCGCTGCAACTATTAAAAAGGAGAGACCCAGTCATTACTGCAACACAGATTTTTTAAATTGTGCCCTACAGAAGAAAGGCGCTAGTTCAATCCAAACGCCGTCCAAGTGGAGTGCGAAGATTCTCCCCAGATCTGCCCTGCATATTTTAGGTGCCCCTGCTGAGTGTACCAACACATCAATTCCCAATAAATCACCCTCAAACGATCCCTTTCTAAGGAGACTGAGATTAAGGGTGAGAAGAGCGATGAAGATGCATTGCAAGTTTTTGGCAATGAAAAGAAAATACACACCAAAAATACGACATTAAGCGGAACTGTTGAAGGGAATTGCAGAATTTAAACAGAATAAAAAGTCCAAGTACAAACTACCACCAGATGTTGCAAACGGTTATAAATTTACCACGTACCAGAGATTACAGCAGTCTTGTGAAGCCAGTTCCCGGTGTGAATCCAACGCCAAGTGACCTCACCCAAATCATCTGGCTCAATGATAACAACATTTACATTTTTTTCCAGCACAAAATCCAACTCACGAACGAAATCCTCCTGGGAAAAACGATGCTCGTAGACGGCACGTATAATCGCAAAAGTCTTTTTGCCACCCATCATTTCCTATCGATAAGACAAATAACCTCAACAGGATGTAGTCAATCACCATCGCAGCAGTAGCCAAAAATTTGCAAAAGCTACTGATCGAATTTCGATGATTGGCAGGGCTGGCAAATGAGAGCTTATAAGAAGTTTGCCATAGCAACGGGTGACAATATAATTAGGAAGGAGGAACAGCTACGAGATTAATAAGTTTCAGATGCACAAGAATGGGAATGTACAGGTACAATACATATGTAGCTTTGTGATACGGATTGGCAGTGTTTTCAATTAGCCAAGATAAAAAACACCGGAAATGTGTAAATACTTTATAAAAAGGAGTTGGTCGAGACGCTCAGCGACCAATGTGAGTGATAAACAAATAAAAAATCATGAAGGCAAAACTCACGATCATCACAGGGAGCAAGTGCGGCAAAAGCTGTAACACACGCCTGTTTCAATATTTAAAAACAGTGTCCAATTCTCCGAACCATGGTGGTGTATTCGAAACTAGTCATTTGGAATCGAGGTTATACGCAATTATCACGATTAAATGCGCAATAAAAAATAATGCGTGTAACATTTCAAAAAAACTTACTTAAGATTAAAAGAACAGCTAACAAAATTGCTTCGAATAATGCTAGGTGGTGAAAAGTAAGTTATTACTCGACAAAAGTACTTTTCATTCAACAGTGGTTTATCTCTGCTTCAGCTAAGATATAGGAGTTGCTGTTCCTAGCTTACTATGTTGTTATAGCTAGAGTGGCCTATTGATAATGGCTTATAATTAGTATCAATTTTGGCAAAATGTTTAATAGGCATTTAATGTCCTATGCATATAACAACTTGATGTCTGGTGATAACATTTGTAGTGGATTAAACTGATAAAAATAATGTTTCGCCTGATACTTTGCTTCGATCCTAGAATGCCGATCCTGACTTCATTTCTCTCGAGCCCGTCCCTAGAACGTGGTTAGCGCTTTGGGAACAATTCAAGAACATGGTATCAGTTTTCTATAAATTTGCATACACTGTTTCAACGTCACAAGTCGACGATCTTACTGCATAGGGAAGTGCGTTGCACTCATATAGAAATGTGCACATGAAACGAATTAACCGTCCAGGTTACTATTTGTCAAAACATTATCAACTATGCAATGGCACTTGTGATTGCACATTCAAGAACTGAATTTCTGCGCGTTGCATCTTTCCGTTTATCGTATACTTCCTACTTTGTTTGGCCACATATTCGTGCAAT